CATGCATGCATGCATCTATGCATACATGCATACATACACACACATACATACATAGATACACACATACATACATTCATACATACATACTTACTTACATACATACATACACACACATACATACATACATACATGCATACACACATACATAGATACATACATACATACGTACATACATACATACATACATACACACATGCATACACACACATACATACATACATACATACATGCATACACACATACATACGTAGATACATACATACGCACTTACATACATACATGCATACACACATGCATGCATGCATGCATGCATGCATGCATACTTACAATTACATACATACATAGATACATAGATACATAGATACATAGATACATAGATACACACATACATACATGCATACATACATACATACATGCATACATGCATACATGCATACATGCATACATACACACACATACATACATACATAGATACACACATACATACATTCATACATACATACTTACTTGCTTACTTACATACATACACACACACACATACATACATACATGCGTACACACATACATAGGTACATACATACACACGTACTTACATACATACATACACACATGCATACACACACATACATACATACATACATACATGCATACACACATACGTACGTAGATACATACATACGTACTTACATACATACATACATACATACATACATACACACATGCATGCATGCATGCATGCATGCATGCATACTTACAATTACATACATACATAGATGCATAGATACATAGATACACACACACATACATGCATGCATGCATACATACATACATACAGACCCACACACACGTATAATAACTTAGAGGCACACACGTGTCTGGACACATTCCGATCCAGCTACCCGGCTTCCTTTGGCGTCATCGAGGGATTCATCGCTTGAAACAAGCCAGGGTAGTCAATGATTGATGTGTTCGTTTATGTTACTTTACCACCAGAAAGTGAACAAGTGCCTACTTGAATGGTGGAAGAGCTGGTCGGCTGGATTGTCTGAAAATAGGGAACCCGTTTACTTGTAGCGGTCCAATTCGAGAAATCTCCAGGTGTTCCTGTACTTCTGGGACGGAAATGGCGACGCCAGCTGCGTGGGGTGGTATGTGGCTGGGGACCCCTCCAAGCCGAGTGACGAGTACCAGGCAGGGAACGTGCCGCATGCAGTTCACCCAGAGACATGATTGAACGACTTCGCTTCTTGAAATATCGTATGGGTGTGGCCCATGTGCAGTTGAGTTGCTCGCTACCCCTTTCACGGTTTAAAGGAAAGCGAACACACCCTTTCTCATTTTGAGGGTTCCTCTTGACACATACCCATCTTGGCAGTTCGCAGTTGTCCCCTTAGCTTTGTTTGTTTTCAGTTTTCAGGGTTTAGTTGGGGTTTCCATTTTCCATTTCACCCACTAAAGGTTAAGCTTTTGGCAAGGGGATCTGAAAACGGACAGCCCAGCGCCATAATTAGCTGCAAAGCTCCTTGGCTTGGCCTCATGATGCTGGGGCTCGGGCTTGCCAAAACCTCGCTGTGTCCATCATTTTGGACACCAGGGGAGGATCTCTGATTGTCGCATGTTTTGGGAACAAGTGGGGGTCCCTCCAAAGTGGTGGTTTCTGTTTTGGCTTCCTTTGAAAACCACAAACACAGAGTGCCAACTCCCAACAATTGGACCAGCCGCCCAAGTTCTTTTCACTGGGCTAAGGGGTACCAAATCCCAAAAAACACTGGCGTTTTTGACTGGACTTTGCTTCCTCAGGACTGGTCTTGTCCTCTAGATATGCTCATTTGATGAGGCTATTTGCTGGCTGTCTCATCAAATGGTTTTTGATCTGGTGTCCTTTGAAAACCACCAAGAATTAAAAAAAGTGGCACCAACTCTGGACCAGCCCCCCTAAGTTCTTTTCACTGGACTAAGGGGTACCAACTCAAAAAACGAAAAGAAAAAGAGCCTTCCCAGTCATTTTCATGCAACAAGTGGGAGTAGTTGCTGGTTTTGGACCAGCCCCCCGAGTCATTTTCGCTGGACTACGGGGTATCAACTCAAAAACAAAACAAAAAAAGAAAAGAAACTCCCAAAAATCCGACCCGCCCGAGTCATTTTCACTGGGCGTTGCTTTTTCAGGACTTCTGGAACGAGTCGGTGCTGCCCGCCACCAAAGCCGGGGACGCCGGGGGCTCCATGCGCTCCTCGGCGCAGCTGGATGGGCCCGCGCTCGAGGCCCTGGCCGCGTTGCCGGAGGCCCGTAGCGGCAACGAGAGCGGGGGGGTGTTTGACGTGCTGCCCGGAGTCACTCCCTGATGCTTGGAGGATACCTGCTTTTGGTTTTGCAGGGAAGCCAACATGTCAAAACCGAACATTCTTGCATATGGTCGAACAAACTGATCACCAGTTAGTTTGACTAACCTTAGTACTTGGCATCTGGAGAATCAAGTTACACTTGAAATGAAACTGGTTATGCTCTGAACCCAATTAGTTTGGCCCAATCCTTGGATTCCTAAGAACCCAGGAAGTTCTGATTGGGACCACCCGGGCCCCCGCCCTCCCTGAGTTTGGTGGCTCGGCTATTCGGCTATTCGGCTACAGGTCCTGTATGCTTCCCGAATACTTGCATACAGCCACAGACCTTCATAGAAATGCAATCCTTATGCCCGCATACCTTGATAACCAGGTGAATACGAAAGAACACCATCTCCATGTCCTGTTGGTTTCTCTCCTCCGGAGGCCCTGCGCTCCAAGCTGCGTGCGCAATTCAATGCCGCCGCGGCGGGGGCGCCCTTGTCCCTGGAATTGGAGGCGGGCGTCGCCCGGGCAGACGAGACGGCGACAAGGGGTGGACAATAGGGCAACGTGAGGGGCACACTTGGGTCGACCGAATTGGGGCGGAAGGGTAAGAAGGGGATCCGATTCATAGTTGGTGGCTCCGAGCCATCCGGTTCCTTGGCTTTTTTAGGTTTTTAGTTGGTTTAGTGGGGGTTTCCATTCAACCCCGCAAAAGTTAAACTTTGAGCAGGTGATCGGAGGCCCAGTTCAGGTGAGTTTGATACTAGGCTTAGGGGAAATATAGGTATAGAGTATGGCTGCAGTATGAATTTCATTGGGGAAACCCCTCGCTAAATGAATTCCAATGATGCCCGTGGCTCCCCATGCTTAAAATTGATACCATTTGAGTAAGGAGTTTTACATGGGTTGGAGATGGACATTTGGCTAGTTGTTGTGGGCCAGGGAATCAACCTGGGTCAGTTTGGGGTCGTTCTCTACTTTCGAGCCAGCAAAGGTACAGGGTGCAAACTTTGTAACCATCCACGGCATGGCCTAAGCTCCAGGCAGGTGGCGGGCAACCTTGGGCAAAACTCTCACTCAAAGTCACGGGAACACAGCTAACGTACCCTGCCCCTTGTAGCAGGTCTGCTTTTGGAAATATGAAAAAAGATGGGAGCCCTGCAGGAGAAGGTGTTGGGGTTCTTCTGGTTGCCCATGTTTACATCCAAAAGGAGGTGCCCAGATTGAAGGATAGCACTGGCGCACGATCAGAGCAAAAGCAGCCATTTAGAGCGACTTGTGTTGGACCGACCTGGAAGGACACCTGTTTTTTGCGCAGACGGCGAGTCAGAAGCAGGGAGCCAAAAGTTGGAATCGCTTGAGATGATTGCTTGTTTGCTTATTCCCGCTCGGACTTGTTACTTCTGGTGTTTTCTGGACTGCTGTGGTTTTCTGGACGTTGCTTCTCTTGGGAAGGTCATGCTGGGAAGAAACCAACACAACACTGAGACACCGCCAGTTTGTCAAATGGAGGCTGGTAGGGGAATGAGAGGAGTGGGGGCAGGTTGGAACGAGAGGGAGTCTGGAATTTTGAAAGTTGTGCGGGTTGTTTCCCGTTAAATGGACAAGACCAGTAGATTCTCCTACACACGCATGTATATTGTATGCATCTGAGTGGCACATATGATATCACATATGATGTTGGCTCACCTGAAGATGTATGTTTCCTTTGAGGAGAATGATGTGGTGACCTCGTGACATGACCTTGATCCAAGATTGGTGACATGAATGACATGAATCCTTACATCTTAAGTGCTATTGGGCAACGGATCTTTAGACTTGAACTTTTTGGTTGAAATCTTTGGGGTTTTCCTCAAAAAAAGGAAGAAAGGTTCAGCTTTTTGCAGAGGGGTCAACAGCAACCAAGTACTGTGCAAGCAGACGTTGGGGGGGCGTGCTGTGGTGTTTTAATTTGTGGTTTCGGGATTTGAAGCCCTGATTCTTGTAAGCCACCTTCTAGCCTCCAAACCACCGAGACATGACATGACTCATCTTTGGGAAATCAATTGGTTTTCCACTCAACCCCCCCCCCCAAAAAAAAAAAAAAACTTTTGCAGAGGGGTCAACAGCAACCAAGACATGACGTGACTCATCTTTGTGGTGACCCCGGTCACCTCCAAGCGCTTGGAATCGGAGGCGCCGGAGGCGGCCGAGGCCGTGGAGTCGGGCGAGGAAGCCGCCGAGGCAGAGGAAGCAGCTGAGGTGGGCGGCACGGGAAGAGCGCCGTTCCCGGTATGTGGCCGTGAGTCAAAACCAATGGGATCCCATTTTGGGATAGGTGCACCACCGATTTTAGTCCATTTTAGTGAAAATTGGGATGTTCACTGGGGGTACGATTTGGCTTTTGACCCATGGCCATGTGGGTAGCCAAAGGGAAGAACTCAACCAAAGATTTGGGGAAGCGGCACGGGAACCACCATTCCAAAAAAATCGCTGTGGGGAACCAAAAGGGGGTGACTCAAACCAAAGTTTGGGGAGTTGTACCATGTACTTTTGACCACCATATTGAAGTGGGTTGTTGCTGTTGCAGCTCCTGCTAGTTATTGTTTTGGTCTGTTTGTGTTTTTGTCCGAGAAGCAGCAGGGGGGCAGAGTCTCCGATGCGGGGGTTGACCTTGGCCTGTGCTCACTGCACGGGTGTAACAGGGCTCCCTTGATGTTCCCTTTTCGGATGGTTCGAACAGCACCTTTTGGCATCAGGTGAGTCTCCTGGCATGATGTTCAAATGGCTGTGGGTCAAAATTAGGTACCCAAAATGGAACCCTGGCAAATAGAACCAAGGACTAAAACCTGCGGTCCCCTGGTGGTTTAATTTTGACCCATACCCAAATTGAAGTAATCCGAGATGCCCGTTGCACCCCTTGCGCAAAGGGGATATAGAGAGCACCCCTACGCGTGTCGGGCTTCTTGCCAGGCTCCGGCTGACTTCGAAGCGCTTCCTACCTTTGGGGAGGATGAGGAGAGATGGGGCAGTGTGTTTTGTTTAGTTTGGTTTTGTTTGGCCTCGCTTTTTGTTTGTTTCTTTCCTTGTTTGTTTGTTTCTTTCGATGTTTGTTTGTTTGTTTGTTTGTTTGTTTGTTTGTTTGCTTCTTTGCTTCTTTGTTTGTTTGTTTATTTGCTTCTTTGTTTGTTTGTTTCTTTCGTTGTTTGTTTGTTTGTTTGTTTGTTTGTTTGTTTGTTTGTTTGTTTGCTTCTTTGCTTCTTTGCTTCTTTGCTTCTTTGCCTCTTTGTTTGTTTGTTTATTTGCTTCTGTGTTTGTTTGTTTGTTTGTCTGTTTGCTTCTTTGCTTCTTTGCTTCTTTGCTTCTTTGCTTCTTTGTTTGTTTGTTTGCGGTTTGCGAAAAGCTTATTGATTGTTGCTCATTGCTTGTGGGCTGCTGCTGCTGCAGTGGTGGTGGTTGTGGTGGTTGTGGTGATCTTGTTGTTGGTGGAGGTGGAGGTGGTGGTGGTCGTCATCCTCGTCATGTCACCGTCGTTGCTGTTGCTGCTCAAAGACGAGTCGTGTTTTGCCAGCCCAGTTCCGGCGAGGAGCCTGAGTCGGCCAAGCTGGCGGAGGCCACCAAAGCCATGCAGAGTGTGGCTGCCACAGACGCTCTGTCAAGTAGCACTGTTGTGCTTGCGTTTTGGGGGAGCAACCGGAAAGGGGGGGGGGAATTTTCACAGAACCTGCCCCTCCCGAACCCCTACCCCTCGTTTTCTCTCGTTTCCGAAGGTCGGGGGGTTAGGGGAAGGGGCTTGTAGTCTATGATGTTTGGCTTGGTCTCATTGAAATTATTTTCGGAACAGTCTGTTTTGGTGGGTTCCATTTGTTGGTCCCCCCGAACACAGAAACGCATGGGGTTCCCCTTTGGGGGACTCAACCACTCTGTCTTCCCAGTGCTTCCAAAGCAGCTATAGCGGGCAACTAGGGTTGCCTACCTCTGTCGTTTTCGTGCTGGTTTCCCCTGGTTACCTGCTATGATGCTACAGATGAATAAAGCCAAGAACCCCACCATTTCCAGAGGAGACTCCGTTTCTTGGCGGTTCGCAGCCGTTTAGCTTTTAGAGCTTTCAGGGTTTAGTGGAGCTTTCCATTTTGGGGGGTTCCACGTAGGGCAGGTAGCTGGAAGCCCTGGGTACCGCACCCGCACGTCTGTCGCAACACCCCCCGACCTGAGGAGGGTACCCTGGCAGCCACGGAGCCGGCACAGGCGCCTTCAGAGCCTTTGGCCTCCGAGGAGCCTGCGGAGGACGAGGACGCGGATGGGACATCTGGGGGCTCGCCAGTGGATGGAAGTTCCATTTCGCAGTGGGTGGGTGGATACCCTGGCGTGTAGGAAATACATTTCCTAGGTGGGTTTTCCCTTTCTACGAAATACATTTTGCAGATGCAGCTGATGAAGTTTGATTCCGTTGATGACATTTCGCAGCCACCCGTTCAGAACTCCTGGTTTCTGAAAATGATTTCCCAACGTAAATACCAACAAACAGTGGTTTTGGCCCTGTGTTCACATTGCAGGAATTCGTGCATCCACAGTATGAATACTGGGATAAACCGCGCTTCAGTGGATTTTGTCCATGCACGCTAGGTCCATGGTTGCAGGCCTCTTTTCTTTTGATAGCCGGGTTTTTGTTTTTGTCCAACCCCACACCTGTTTTGGCCTCCAAAAACTGGCGCCGGTCTTTGTTGTGACCTCAGGTTCCTAGACCTTTTGGAGCCCGGCTTTTCCATTCCGGTGGAATTCGCGACAACTTAAAGGCTGAGGCTTGGAGCAGCATTTCACCCTGGAATTGATGGGCTTTTGAGTAAAAACCTGTTGGGGTTGGGTTGGGTCTTAGAAAAGAGCCCAACCCAAGGCATGTTTTGTGGTTTCAACAACAGAAAAGAAGTGAAACAACCAAAAACAACGTACCAAGAAAAGCTGTGTTTTATTAAGAAAAGAAGTGAAACAACAAAAAACAACTACCAAGCAAAACCAAAAAGCGGTTGGTTACGAGAGGAAAGACGTGTCCCGGGTCCCAGGATGACCGGGAGTCCCTGCCGTCGCGTTGCAGCTTCACCACCGGCCCGGGGAAGACGGTGCCCGGCGGGGACCGAGGGGAATCCCAGGCGCCCACGCAGTTCGACAAGCCCGACTCCTCGGTAGCGCCTTGGCCCCTCCATGTTGTTTTGACAAACACGGGTCCTGCCCTGCAAATGGATGTCCTAAAAAGACACCCAAACAAAGACAACAGAAAAAAGGCGGCGCGAGAAGAGATTTCTCTAAGCACATACTGTGCTGGTTTCATGTCAATCGGAAGCGTAGCGCGTTAACATGTTTTTGTTCAATCCAAGCCGGGCACCTGCTGATTGAATGGGTAGTCTCAACCAAAGCCAATGCAATTCTGCCTGGAGCATGTTGTGATCAAAGGCTATGTAAGATGCAAAGTGATGACCTCTGCTATGCCTTTCTTTGTACCTTGGTCCCTCAATTTAGGGTGCACCTGTGGGAGGGTATGTGGAAGATCAATTTCCTCTTCTAGGGACCATTTCTGAGGTGCCATGTTAGTGGGAGAGAGGGGTATATCCAATTTTTGTTAATCATCAGCTCCACCACCTTGGCTTTCAGTCCCTTCCCTCCGCCCCGCTTCGCGGACCACGAGGCCTCGGGCGAGGCGCCGCCGAAGCCCGCGCCCGCCGCCGGCGCCGGCGCGGGGTCCGCGGACGCGAGTCTCACGGCGGAGGCCTTGGCGAAGCACACGGAGGCGCTGGCGAGGGCGCAGGCGGAGGCGTACGCGGCCACCTTTGCCAGTGCCAGGACGGCGGGAGTTCGTTGTTGTTGGCTTTTTTTACAAAATATCCCACCGTTCGCCTTTTTTGCTCCTCCAAAAGGTGTCTGTGTGTGTGTGCCGGTGTGTGTGTGTGTGTGTGTGTGTGTGTTTTTGTTCAAGGGATGTTTGTGTGTCTATGTGTTTGAGGGATGTTTGTGTGTTTTGTGCCATGTGTTGTGATGGGTTTGTGTTTTGGAGGTAACCTTTTGGGCTAGTTTGAAGGGACACCAACGCAAAGCCACCCACTTTGGGGTAACTGTATTGGGAGCCTGGGATCCACTGACGAGCAAGTCCGATTATAGTTCAAAGATCCAAACAATAGCCGAATAGTTCGAATGACCAACCAGACTCGTGGTAGATTGATTTCTCATTCCCCACTGGGGGATCTTCTCCTTGAAACAAAGGATTCTGGCAGAAAACAAGCAAACCACTCGGTAGGTGGATGACAAGGACTTTCACCCTGGCCAGGTATTGCTAAGGGTGTATCCCGTCCATGAACATGCAACCTGACAAAGGGATCCTGGAAGACAATTTTTCTCTCAAATAGACCTTCTGGTGGGTTCCGTGCACAGGGAATTGGAATCATGTGTTTGGTTTCTTGCTGGTACTCAGCAGGGAATGAGAAATGGAATGACCCTTTATGGTTTCCTTCAGTCGGAAATTCCCGAACGGTTCATTCCATTTCTCGTTCCCTACCAATCGCACCAGCAAGGTTTCCCTAAAAACACCCTTATAAACCATCCATGTCCTCTGGTTTCCTTTTCTCCCCCTTGACTTTTGGGTTAAAGGCTGGTTCCCTTGGGTCCCCAAAAGCCGTGACCTGGACTCACTGGCGTCTGGTTTCCCCCAAGGACCAACTACGCCAAGAGCCTGGGCCGCCCCGTCAGCGTGGCCGGTAAGAGCGTGGCCGGGCGCTCCATCGCGGGCCTCAGCATCGCTGGGCGCTCGGTGGCCGGGCGCTCCATCGCTGGAAAGTCTGTGGCAGGCGGGGGCTTGGAGCCTTTGCCTGTCCCAGCGCATTTTCGCCCCCTCAGGAAAGGGAATTGGGGGAGGGGGGTGACCACTGGAGATCTCCATTTAGAGTTGCCATTGTCCCTTTCATGGGGAAGATAAATGGAATCGGGGGACCGGGTCCCTACCCTCTCTTTTCTAAGGTAGGGGGGGATCCCAGTGCTTCCCAGGCAAGCTAGTGTCCCAGAAATGCCTTGAGGTATCCCCTTGTTTTTTGGATCAGGGGTCCGCTTTAAACTCAACCACCAAAGGATGCGCATCCTTTTCTCCCATGGCCGCTGGGCATCTGAGACCCTATATGTGTGGTTTTGGGTGTGGTTCAAGGGGACTCGTCAATTCCAGATTCCTCAAATGTTGAGGTGCTTGGACCCTTTGGATATATAGTAGGCAACATTGGGGAACCGGGTATTTTGCCTCTAAATGGCTTTTAACATGATGGCTTCCACTTGATACCTACTATAGTGGCAACCGGAAGCACCGGATGTGTAATCATGACGATTAGGCACCCCTTGTGTCATCCACAGATGCTCAATCCAAAAATCAGAACCACATATCATCAGGCGCCTGACGGCATTCGTCAAACAGCTTTCCCAACCCCCCAGTAAAAGGATAGCAAGGACCCAACATGGATGATGACAATCCTTAGGTAAGCAATGCTGGTTATATGAACCAACCATGTTTTAATGGTGGCCCATGACCCTGATAAACCATCTATTTCCTATGGCTTCCTTTATTCGGAAATCCCCGAACGGTTGATTCCGTTTCTCTCTCCCCTATCGCACCAGCAAGGTTTCCCTACGGACACCCAGAAAAAAAAGAAGAAAAAAAAACATCCGTTTCCTACGGTTTCCGTTTTTGTGCCCTTGACTTTTAGGCCGGTTGAAGGGTTCCCTTGGGTACCAACAAGGCATGTCCCCCCGGTGTGGCAAAAAGTTTCAGCCGATCGGATTCGGGCGTCAGGGAAGAGCATCGCGGCCTCCGGTGTGGCACCTTCTGAGAGGACCAACTTGGAAACCGCCTGGGGAACTGGTGAACTGCTGCGGGTTGGAATGGAGATCCCAGTGCTTCACTGTTCTTGGCATGTGTTTTTAGTTTTTCAGTTTTTTGGTTCTGTTCATTTTTACTGGGGGTCTGCAAAAAAACAAAGTGTTTTGCTACCATACCAAGAGTAGAGATCCCAGACCGCACCGTTGGAATGAAACCGTGGTTGAAACCACTCACCCAGCCAGACACACTTTACAACTTTTTTCCTTGGTGGCCTTCCCTTTAGTGGTGCCCCAACAAGTGTACACTTTTGTTGGGCTGGTCACTAGCCAAGTGAGACCATGGTTGATTGGTATGTATGGGGGGGACATCAGAAACCAGGGTTTCTGAAAGGTGGTGCGAAATTGAATTCGAAACCGTCCACAGTATGGCTATGAGTTTGTAACAGGGAACCCCCCTAACATGAAACATGGCTATGAATTTACATCAAATACAGGGCTTCATCTATCCCAACTGGTGCAGGGTTTTTCTATCTACAGCAAAGAGCCACTTTTTAACGTGGCTGGTGCACAGGAATCCCCACCTGAATGATGTCCAAAGTCCCCCAAATGAAACATCACACCCATATGTGAACAATGACTTTGGGCCCCTTTCAACCATGTTGAGGGTTATTTTTCGTGGATTTGAGGATGGTACCAGCCACTTGGAGACTAACTTTAGCATGTATGTGAGGATGTCAGCAGATTGATCCCGTTGTGAGAGCTGAGCAATTGAGACTATGACTGGTGGTCAATTGCTAGTTTTGGGAACAAGAGAAGGGGGGGCAGGCGCCAAGTTCTTCACGAGTACTTGTCCCGAGCTCACATCCGGATTCTTAGAGGTGGTTCATCCGTTTCGAACACGAAAGCATCGCTTCGAGAATGGGCGTCCATTCCGAACATGGTCCAAACATCGGCGAAACCGCGTCGTAGGTTTGCCTTCAAGGGTGAGTTGCTCGAATGTCGAGGTGCCCAAACTTGTGGACCCCCAAAGGCGTCCATGCCAACGTGTTCAAGTCCGTGCTACTCTAAGGGCAGGGTCCTTAGTAAGCAGGTAGTATGCAGGGTCGCAACGGCTGATTCCGGCTTTGAAAACCAAAGAAAACAATGACAAAAAAAAACTCAAAGAAAAGGAACAAAACTAATTCAGACCTTTTCGTGGCCAATCCCCTCCGGCAGTGAGAGCCAGGACCTTCCGCACGCACATGACCACCCGCGAGATGCTGGTGGGCCCCTCCCAAATGCGCGAGATCATGCGCTCCGTGTCGCCCATCTCCGAGCCAGGCGAACAAATCGAGATGCCGCCGTGTCCTATAAGCCTTTGTTGGCAGATTCGACCTGTGTTCATCGGAATTTACGGATGGTTCTTAAGAATATGGGTTTTGAGGTTGCCACTTTCGATACCAAAACTGTCCTTTTTCAAATGGTCATGGGAATGACTCTTGTTAGTATCAATTGAACATATCCCCTACTATGGGCCATGTGAATTTTCTGGCGAGCGGTTCCTCCAATCCGGTTGTAAAGCGAGCGAAACTCAGGTGTAGATCACTTACTTGTGGATTCCTTGTTTTAGGGTTTGAAGCTATTGAGAATTTGCAAATGGTTGCATATCGGGCTTCGTTGCCGCTTTCCAATACCAAAGGAATCCCCTACAACGGGATAACGTAGTGATGCGAACGACACTTGGTGGTATCGCAAAAGGGTATTTTCCAACATCCGCAATTTTTAGAAGGTGGTTCGACTACCTGTGTTCACGGAAAATATAGACAGAGTTGTTTTTTGGTGAGAGTACCCCTTGGTTGGTCCTTTTAATGGAGAAAAAAGAAAAGGGGAGTCCCCTAAGAAAGCCACATCCATTCATAACCTGTATGGGTGTGAGATGCTGCTCAAATTGTTTTGAAGTAGACCCCATGGAGTCCTGTAAACCGGCAGGAGGTTCTTGAGCCGGAGGTGGCCTAGGCGAACGTGGCTTGAGCAGGTTTTAACGACGGCGGCTTGACGTTATTTGAGCAGCAAGCAGTTGAACATGTTTACACAAAGGCGGGTTAAGCAGGTTTCAACAAGCTTGAGTTTAACCTGTTTGAACAAGGGCGAGTTAGACAGCTAGACAGGAACAAGGTGGTTTAAACCAGCCAAGCCTGCTTCATCAAAGAGTGGCTTAAAGATGTTGGCACAGGAGGGTTAAACATGATTCAACAAGGGTGGATTAAACTGGTTTGAACAAGTGGCTTAATTGGAATGACCCCTACAAACAATCCCTTGTGGTTTCCTTAAGGGAACCCCCAAAACCGGTTCATTCTCAACACCCGGACTTG